ACCTGTCTCTGGATAAAGCGCGGTCGACCACGCGCGGTCGACCGCCGAAACTGCAGAAGCTCCCCTTGATTTCTCGTGCACATCGCGGTCGACCGCCGCGCCATGCGCGGTCGACCGCGTGTCAGCATTCCTGTATCCTTCGATCTGACGCCAACTCTACAAATCTCCACATCGGCGAACGTTTTGCCAAAACTGAGCCGACACCAAAACACCCACAATCAACTCAACCGACTGCATCTGCAAGACTGCCTACGTATCCTCTTGCCCAAGGAATCAAGCCGAACGTAGTTTATCCAAATGGCCGCCAACGGCCTCAACAATGAAGAATATTCAATAAGTTCAAACAATGACCAAACTTCACACCTGGTACAACTTTGGTCAATATATCAGCAGGATTGTCCTTAGTGTGGACCTTCTCTAACGTGAAATCACCATCATCTAATACGTCACGTACAAAGTGAAATCTGACATCAATGTGCTTCGTGTGTGCATGATAGACTTGGTTCTTCGCCAAATAGATAGCTGACATACTATCATAATATACCTGAATGGTCTCCTGTGCAATCCCCAAATCATCCAACAAGCCATATAGCCACAAAGCCTCCTTCACTGCTTCAGTCACCGCCATATATTCCGCCTCCGTAGTAGAAAGCGCCACTGTAGACTGAAGAGTGCATCGCCAACACACTGGACCGACGCTTGTCAAGATCTCCGGCATAGTCTGAATCCACGTAGCCAATACAATCCTGCCTTGTCTTATCATTCTTCATAAATATCAATCCAACATCCATGGTACCCTTAATATACCGTAGAATCCACTTCACGGCCTCCCAATGCCCCTTGCCGGGGTTGTGCATGTACCTAGATACCATGCTCACGGCCTGTGACAAATCTGGCCTCGTACACACCATAGCATACATCAAGCTACCCACTGCACTGGCGTATGGAACTTTAGACATGTAGTCCCTATCCTCCACTAAAACTGGTGACATCAAAGCTAAAAGCTTAAAGTGGGGAGCTAATAGAGTACTCACCACCTTGGTATTGCCCTCAAAACTGAATTTCTTCAGCATCTTCTGCAAGTAACTCCTCTGTCACCACCTTGGTATTGCCCTCAAAACTGAATTTCTTCAGCATCTTCTGCAAGTAACTCCTCTGTGTAAGCTTCAATCTCCCCTTCACCCTGTCTCGCTCAATCTCCATACCCAGTATCTTCTTAGACTCTCCCAGGTCCTTCATCTCAAATTCAGATGACAGTTCCTTTTTCAATTTCCCAATAGCTGAAGTGTTCCTGGAAGCTATGAGCATATCATCAATATACAATAACAAATAAATGTGCTCACCATCCTGTAGCTTGTGCATATAAACACACGGGTCATACGGGCTCCTCGTGTACCCTTGGCCAATCATAAAGCTATCAAATCTCTTGTACTACTATCGCGGTGATTGCTTCAGTCCGTAAAGAGATTTCTTCAATTTGCACACCAAATTTTCCCTTCCTGCAGCTTTAAACCCCATAGGTTGTGTCATGTAGATCTCCTCGTCTAAATCTCTATGTAGAAAGGTCGTCTTCACGTCCATTTGGACCAAATCTAAGTCCAGCTGTGCCACTAATGCCAATAGTATCCGAATCGACGAATGCTTCACAACAGGTAAAAACACCTCGTTGTAATCAATGCCCTCAAGCTGTGCATATCCCTTGACAACCAATCTGGCCTTGAATCGAATGTCCCCAATAGAATATCCCTCATTCTTAGCATACACCCACTTGCAACCAATAGCTTTCTGACCCTTAGGTAGCTTTGCAAGTTCCCAAGTGTCGTTCTTCTGAAGAGATTGCATCTCCTCCTCCATAGCATTCCTCCACCTAATAGAATCAGGACTGGACTCTGCCTCCCTGAATGTGGCAGGAATAAAATCATCAACGACCTCCACGGATAAAACATATGCCACCATGACCTCATCATATCTAGCTAGCCGACGAATCTCTCTCCTCGGTCTATCTGCTGCAATGGACCCCTGAGCATGACCCTGCTTCTGAGCCTCACCATCTACTGTATCCTCCACATGCCCGACTGTCATCTCATCTCCTCCCAATGTCACACCTGTAGGAGCCTCAATGGACACAGTGCTGTCTGGAATGGATGGAGTCACATCAACCTCCACCTGCTGTGATATCCCTCCTGTCTGATCTTCTTCCACCTGCTGAGGAACCCGAGGCTTCATCATGTACGCCTCATCAAATGTGATATTTCTGCTAATGACCATCTTCTTGTCTTGTGGATCCCATAATTTGAAGCCTTTGACACATTCTCTAAATCCCACAAAAATAGCTTTTCTCGCTCTCGGATTTAACTTTCCATCACTGACATGAAAATAAGCTGGACACCCAAATATCCGGAGAGTCTCATAGTCACTAGCCACAGAACCAGACTAACGCTCCAAAGGAGTCTTCCCCTCTATCGCAGTGCACGACAACCTGTTAACGAGATGGCTCACATAAACCAACGCCTCGGCCCAAAAGGATCTAGATAATCCACTCTGCGTCATCATACATCGCACCTTCTCCAGCAAAGTACGGTTCAATCTCTCGGCCACCCCGTTCTGTTACGATGTCTCTCTAACTGTGAAGTGTCTTCTAATGCCATGATCCTGGCAAAACTACAGAAATGGATCACTCTTATATTCCCCATCATTGTCTGAACGAAGAGTCTTTACATTTCTACCTGTCTGTAGCTCTACTTTCTTCTTCCACTCCACAAATATATCCAGGACATTATGTTTATGCTTCATGGTATATACCCAATTCCTTCTGGAATAATCATCAATGAAAGTAACAAAATAATTTGTCCCACCAAACGATGTGTGCTTGGAAGGACCCCAAACATCCGTGTGAATATAATCTAATATACATTGGGTTTTGTGAATAGCGGTGCCGAACTTCACTTTAGTCTTCTTCCCAAGTATGCAATGCTCACACAGCTCCATCTTGTAGGTCTTTGCACCTTTCAATAGCCCCTGTTTTGCCAATGTCTGTAGGGACTTATCACCTGTGTGTCCAAGTCTCATGTGTCATAGGGTGGTGGTATCCTCCTCTTTGGTGATAGAAGCAGCCAGACCCCCTGTAACTGTCTTGCCCTTCAAGTAGTATAGGTTGTTTTCCCTGACACCTCGTATCATCACCATGGACCCCTTCATGACCTTCAAACTAGCATCTTCTAAGATCACTCTATAGCCGGATGCCTCCAAAGTCCTAAGAAAAATGAGGTTCTTCGTCAATTGCGGCACGAACATCACTTCTTTCAATTCCCTAGTCACCCCGTCATGCATTCTGATTCTGACTGAGCCAATCCCACTAATAGGACAAACATGATCGTTCCCCATGAGCACCACGTCTCCTCTCTTCAACTCCTCAAAGTTGGTAAACCAATCCCTCTTAGAGCAAATGTGAAATATAGCTCCCGAATCAAACATCCACTCCGTAGAGTCGGCATAACAAACTGACGGCAGTACGGGACAAGAATAACCGGAAGAATCCGAATCTGAAATGTTGCCAACAACCTTAGCAACATTCACCTCTGAAGCTTGTACAACTTTCCCCCTTTGCTTTCCGGCTCTATCCTTCAACTTTGGGCACTCATTCTTTCAATGTCCCTCTTCTTTGCAAAAGGCACATTGATTTCTACCAACACTCTTATGCCCACCCCTATTCTTTAATTTTGAGCGGTTGAACCTTTGACGGTTTGGATTACGGCCACGAACTGCTAATGCATCACACGATGCCTTCTCGGAGGGCTCACCATCGTTCTTCCTCAGCTCATAATTTACCAATGCCGAGGTCACCTCCTTGTAGCTAACTGTAGTTCGTCCATTTATCATAGTGAGAACAAATGTACCAAACTCATCCTCCGGCAACGAACACAATAGTAACATCGCCTTGTCTTCATCCTCTACCATGATATCTACATTGGCCATATCCGAAATTAGCTTTGTGAAGTTGTTAACATGCTCCCGAATGGAAACCCCCATCTTCATCTTGAATTGGTAGAACCTTTTTTTCAAATGAAGCCTATTCTCAATGCTCTTCGTCAAATACTTTTCATTGAGTGTTTCCCACAATTTCTTCGCCGACGTCTTGTTCATCACATCATAAATGAGATCCGGCGTCAAGCATGACCGAATCACCCCACAAGCTCTACTGTTCATTTTCTTCCAAACCTTGTCTTCAACATCTTCGGGTTTCTCTTGTAGCTCAAGAGTTTCCTCCAAATTTTGTGCATCTAAGGCGTCCATTACTTGACACCTCCATAAGCCGAAGTTAATCTTGCCGTCGTTTGGATCGCCTTTGTCAAAGCCGATCCCGATGTACTTGTAGCACTTGTAGCGCTTGAACTAGCCTTGCTTGTTTCAACCATATTGTAGGTCTACTCTCCCAACAAGAATCCAACAGCGAATTCTTCGAATAAACTCCCAAGTCCAACCTGGCTCTGATACAACTTGTTGTGCGCTGCGGAAGCTCGAATCGACAAGATCAAAAGCACATACAAGAACAATAGTAGACCACAAACGAACACAAGCAAACCAATCACAGCAAGAACACAAGATATACGTGGTTCGGCAATGTGCCTACGTCCACGGGGCAAGGAGAGGGGAGTTTCACTAATAGAAATCAAGGAGAATACAAATTAGGGTTACAAATCTTACCACAAACACACAAACAAGACTACTTGATCTCTCCAATAGACTCTAACAATAGAAGCCCTAGAAATCCCCTTTCAGCAGCTCAAAATCTCCCTTGCTTAACCCTAAAACCAAGTTTAGGGTATATATACAACTCACCAGAAAACGGGTCTGGAAAGCCAACTTAAACCCAAAACCCGATACGCGGTCGACCGCCGCGCCACGCGCGGTCGACTGCCAAAAGTCCAGAGCC